GGGGAAAGCTGGCCGGGGGGGCCGCTGCTCGGGGCCTGGCTGGGCATCAGTCGGCAGGTGGTGAGCAATTGTACTGTGCATCACTTGCTTTGTGTATTGTTATTATTATCATATTATTATTATTATCATTTTATTTCAATGATTAAACTGTATTTATCTCAACCCACGAGTTTTTCTCACTTGTGCTCTTCCAATTCTCTCCCCCATCCCACCGGGTGGGGGGAGTGAGCGAGCGGCCATGTGGTGCTCAGTTGCCAACTGAGGTTAAACCACGACACCAGGATACAAACCAAGGAGTTGAAGTGATGTATCGGGGCACTAACCCAGAAATTTACTGTAAGAAAATAAAAACCTTTGCACTAAAGACAGTGCGCTACAAAGCAAAAGATTTCAAAATGAAGTAGAAAAATTCACTCTCATCCCATCCCTACTACAAGAAGTGTGACGAGGTGTTTGGTACGGTTGTGACCAAAGAGCCTTGTGTCACGCTGTTTGTGCTACGGTTTTTAGCTCTTTGGGCTAGGTTTTTTTTGCTCTTTGTGCTAGGGTTTTTTTTTTTTCAAATCACATCTAAAAACTCTAGACTATGGAAGAAGAAAAAGAAAGTAGATTATCAGGGCTTGAAAATACCATATGCATATGCATGGATGTATTGGGTGAAAAAATGTATTCCAGAGCCTTCTTTCAGGAAGGAGTCTGCCTGGCTACAGGAAGGTAATATTCTTCCATCATGTCTTTTTTTTCCACTATTTATATTTAGAAATAATATTTTCTTTATTAATTTTCCCTTGAAATTATTCTTCATGAAATTTCCTGAAGATCCTTTCGTGGTCGATCATTGTCTATTAAAGGATTTTAGAATTTTGTAAATAAACAAATTAGGCTACCTCTGTAACCTAACTCAGGTTTAGCAAATCGAATGGATTTGTCCAGCACATTATCAGGATGACTATGAAAAGCTTTCACATACAGCAGGCAATAAAATTGTTTAAGCAGATGCTGAAATTCACATAGGAGACCCGAAGATGAAGGGAATAATGTCGGAACTTGATCTTAATTATTTGGACTTATTGAACAAACTAGAACTAGACTGCCAGAAAAGTTCAGATAGTATAGAGAAGAAAAAGATCTGAAGTAAAGAAAAGGTGGTCAATAAATTCAGTCAAATCCGACTATTTCATAGATCTCTATTAGATAGATGCAGGGGTCAATGGCTAAAAAAAATGCTTGAAATAGCACAAACACAAAGAAGTTGTAGCTGGCAGAAGAACTGCTGAAGTCCTGTGAAGACACAGAAATTAGTTGGACTGCAGACTTCTTTTGGTACCCTAAAATTTTAGTTTTCCATTAAAAAGTCATCAAAATCAGTGTTACTGGATTGTAAGTCTGCAAGTCTGCTCCTTCTGTGCACGATTCAAACTGTGGGATTCTTTCCACCTAACTTACAACCTACAAAAAAGTTGCACATCTATTGTAAGATCATCTACAAGTACTGAACTACTGCAGTCAATGAATAGGAACAGGGACAAGAGCTGTTGTAGAATACGATAAATTTGTGCCTACAGATAGACAGTCAATGAGTCATCATTGACGAGGAAGGGAACCTAGAAAATCAGATTGAGAACAAGCAAATAGGTATTAGATTACTAAATTAAGTGAAATAAATCCTGAATAAATATTTCACCATGATAATCTCCAAAATGTTTTGGTGGTATATATAAATATGTATTTTTGTATATAGATATAGATACATATAGTATGTGTGGGCGTTCTTTAACAAAACGTTGCTACATGTTGGATTTACTAGTACAACAATGCTCTCAGCAGAACCAACAAACCATTTTACGTACAGCCCTCATAACAACAATTAGCTCCAGACAATTTTAAATAAAATGTACTTAGATAGAAAAATAAATATCCTGATTTAATTTGCACCGTGTTGAGTGACAACAGAGGCCTTCCTCCTAAAACTGTTAAGTATGAGGCACGTCCTGCAAAAATCCATTTCTTGAATGGGTAAACGTGATATGCAAAGGAAAAATACTAATTGGTTGAACATACATTGATTTTAATTACATGTGTTTTGTTTAATGGGAGCTGGCTGGTCATCAGTTATCACTGTTCATTTGGGTTTTTTTTAAAGAAAACATAAGGACAAACACAAAATTCAGATTTTCTTGCATAGTCAGAGTGAACTGCAGGTGTCTGTAACCAAGACTATGGAGAGTGGTTTGCTGAATTCCCAAGAAGGGACAAGTTAGAAGACGGGCACCTTATGCAGCAAGCTTTGAGGTGGCTGCAAGGGCACATCACAGATGCAATGAAATCAAGAAATCAGACATAAATATTGATCTATTTTGGCCCATATATTGGGAGCTTTTTCTCTCCGTACCTGTAATAAAACTAAGGAGTTTTCAAAATAACTTAATAATATACTTTTACAACAGAAACAAACAAAAAAATATTATCTATATCCATTTAAAAAAAGATAAAGGAACCCTTCTTGGGAAAGGAAGAAAGCTGAGAGTGGTTTGTTTTTAAAGAAAGTATGCTCACGGCAAATATTTGTTTCAGCTTTAAATAGTGCTCTTCCTAGCACATTGGTATCTAATTATGGACACCTACAGAAATGCAAACAATTCTAACCCACCATAAAACAATAAGAAAAGTTTATTAGAACTTCCCAAAATATATGGAAATAATTATAAATTAAAGTATTTAATAGCATTTTCTTTAATGCTTTTTTAACATACGACAATTGCTTTGTCCTATGCTGACTAATACAGAAATACAGAAAAATCACTTAAAGGTGTCTACCAGTGCTCAGAATCTTCTCAGTAAAGAATCTCTACGTCACAGCCTGTGTAGAGCAGATGTAGCACAACGCATAGGAAATTCCTAATTGCCACAGAAGATGGAGACTTTTGTTACCACTTCTAATAACAGACATGTAGAAAACAGCATCCCCAAAGTAAATCACCTTTTTCAAAAGGAAATGCTGGTGTATTTTTCTTGAGCCCAATTCCCTCATAAAAGTTTTGCAGCTGTTTTTTTCTTATTTATTTTGTTTTGTTTCTAGCATTAAAAAACGCAAAAAACCACCATAAAAAAGTCTCTAGCATGTCAAAAGCTCAGACGCAAATATAATCATGAAATCATATAAGACATGCTAGCAAGAGAGCACAAGAAGTACAGAAATGGTGTTAGGGACTTTTTTGCCAATGATTTGTAAATTTGAAGAAAAGGCTTATAAATTTTAAACAATGGAGATCTAGAAACATGAAATACATGAAGAGCAATGTCTCACTACTATCTAAACAACAGCATTCACATGCTAGGTTTGGGGCTTTTTTATTTTATTTTGCTTACAAAGAGGTGTGTGCTTACCTGGCACACACAGGCAAGATCATTCACAAAAAAATGAAGGACAAATTTGAGTCTAGCTGGACTCTCAGATCAGTTTTATATATATTTAAATTCTATTGAATACAATAAGAAGAAAGTGAATGAATGCCTTTTATAACTGTGTTGGTTCCCGTTCTCGAATTTTTTTTTTTTTTTTCTGGTATGTAGCTATTTTTAATTTAGTTCTGCAATCTGAGATTAGTACAATAATTAGGCCATATTGGGGACACTCCTTCTATCTGGAAATATTCATTGGCTGATATAAAACCCTAGTAGCCTGCCTTTTTGTTTCTAAATATTTAAAACAGAAAGCCAAGCACCTTATTCTATGAACATTCATGGTCATCTTCCTCATGCATTGAATCAGAGAAAATTCTCTTGGACTTACTGTACTACTGAAAGAATTTTATAGTGAGGATGTATTGTGTTCCTCTGCATTTATTTTTAGATGACTTAATCTCCGTATGAGGGATAGAGATGGCCTGGTGCCAGCAGTG